CAGGAATGGGTGGTTGTCTTACTTACACGGTCCACATTAATAATCCACTTTACAACTAAGAAACGCGTAGCTAGATAGCTAGCTATACACGGTTTTGGAGGTTGGGAGTGATGGAATCTTCAACAATATCAAACCACACTATTTTATGCAAAAATGGAGTTAGATTTGATAGTATATTTGTTAGGTCATTTTTTCACTATAAGAATCTTAATTTGTGATGTTATCTTATTAGGTAGATCTAATGATTTTCCTATGTATATCTTCCACCTAGATTTTTTCTCTGTTCGTTTTGGATTGCATTTCTTTGCAAAGTCATCGTATCCCCAAACATAGTTATCTTAGATTTGCATGCGTTTGTATATATCCCCAAACATTGTTATTTTACAGATAAAAAAAAATAACAAATTAAAACAATTATTTTATAAAATTAATCTTATCATTAATTTTTTTTTAATAATATAACACAAATATCACTTTTTACCTAATATTATTAGGGGCATAATTAAAATAATAATAATAATAATAATAAATTTTGCATGTAATAAAAAATTAACATAATACTTATTTTAAAATTTATTTTTCTCTTTTAATATGATAAAAATGAGTAATTGAATATTGAAACATGATAATAATGAATTTGCAAACTATATATTCTTCCAAATCTTTTTCTCAATTGCCTGCGGCATTTCCATAATCTAAATAAACTGAATCTATCCAAGAATTATAAGAATCTTTCACGTCATCAAAAGTAGAAACATATATACGCATTGTTATGACATTCCTTTATTTCAAACATCTTATCAGATTGAATTGGGGATTAGTGAATCTTTGTCATGCTAACTACTCTTTAAGGGATTAGATATTTTGTTAGAGAAAGATTTAATGGTTTCATTAATTGTGCTATCATGTTCTGCCGTCTAGCCAGCTGCATGCACATGTGAAATATTAATTAAACATGTTGAATTCGACCGGGTGATCTTAATAAAAAAAAGTATATAGTACCCAAGAAAAAAAGTGACACCTTGAAAGAAATCAAAACTAATATACATTATTAGGATTTATTGAAGCCTACTATATAACAGATTTGAGTTGTCATTCTTAAAAATGAAATATAATCTCTCTATCTTTATTCTCACACAGTTACATATTTATTTTGGTTTTATATATAACACATTTTTAATTTTTTTATATCAAATGAAATCAATTTGTTTATTTACAATTAAAAGTTTCAAATGTCTTCAACTATTTGTAAAATAAATTTTTATTGATTAAATTAAATTTATTTTTAAATTATTTTTCTCAATTTTTCTTACTTTTACAATGCATTTACTTTAAATTATTTTTAAAATAATTTTATTGATTTAATTATTTTATATATAATTAAATCAATATTTTTTCCTCTTTATTTTATTATTCATTTATAGAAGATTAAATTTTTATTTTCAATTTTAATGGTAGTGTATTTATTTTCTTTGGAAAAATATTAAAAAATATAAAATAAAAATTGAAACATTTTTATCATCATTAATCACGACTTATATAAAATAAAAAACAGCAAATAGCCCAAACCAGCTAAGAGATTAATCTTCACTATCTCATTGTAGAATAGGCTTGTTTGAACATTTTCCTTTTCCTTGTTAGAGGAATGAAAACCGGATCAAGGTTGTGCTTAAATACAGTTGAAAAAAATGATTTTGAAGTGATATATATGATTTATGTTTGATTGTTTTTATTATAAAAGTTAGTTTAGTATAAATCTTTTAATTCAACATAGAAGTTGCCTAATGTTGTTTTAATTAAAAATTAATTTCATACTGAATTAAATATGTGAAAAATTTATAAAATCATGCTAATCCCTATTCCAACGTGAATATATGAAAATAAGAAAGAAAACAAGGATGAAATAATAGAGACGTCTTTTTTTTGTCTATTTTTTTAAGAGTAGTGCTTACTCTCTCGGGGCCAGCCCATGAGAGATCCATGAACAACAGTTTGGGGCTGTTTCAGTAAAGATTGGGCCAACATGGGCCATGTCCATAAGCCATTGGCAGGGGTTCGGAATTTGGTAGTAGAAGTTGCTAAGTTATCTTTTCTATGCATTCACAAGAAGTTGGTAGCTTCGAAATCCGATGGCAAAGGCAAAGACACAGCAAGTACTAACAATGCCTACACGTCTACCTCAATATGTATCGCTTCGCCGGGTCGAAATTTCGAATCCCTCGATGTGGACCACAAAATGCGCCACCATTCCTTCACTTTCAATTTCTGCCTCTGCTCCTCTGCGCTACGCGTCGTTTCGCTGCAGCTCCACCTCCACCAATTTGCCCTCTTCACCCAAAATCTTCGTTAAAGGTAACCTTCGATTCAATAGTAGGTCTCCTTCAATTGTGTCGAAATCGTCAATTTCCCTCGTTTTCGTTTGTTGAGAAGCTAAGCACTTGCCATCAATGCCAAGTATTATTTCAGTGTTGCTCAAGATTTTTGTAGATGTCACCAATAATCTAATAAATGATCTTTACGACTGATTATAAATCATTTGATCCATAATCCATTCCACTCTTGTATCATCATCACAAAAAATCTGTTGTATTGCATGTAGTAACATGTTGAGTTGATATTATACCTGCAATGTTAGTCTTAAGAAGTTCTCCATTTCCATTTCCATTTTCTGTGAAAAATCATTATACTGAAGTTTTCATGGTTGGCCAATGCAGGACTTCCTCTCTCAACCTCCGAAGGACGCTTGATGAAGGTGTTTTCAGAGTTTGGTGAAGTTACTCTTGGTAATAATAAATCCTTTTTGGGTTGTTAGCTTGCTTTTCAGGCAGGCTATCTTGGGACTTGACCTTTATTTCAGCGGGATACTTGCTAGAAAATATATGTTTGCCATGAATGGACTTTCATTTTCTGAAACTGTCGAACCTATTTAATCATTTTAATTATAATTGATTTTATCTTATGGCAGTCCAGCTTCCAATAGATAAAGAATCAAGTCAGTCTTTAGGATTTGCATTTATTTCGTTTGCCAAGGAAGAGTCTGCACAATTGGCTGTGCAAGAGATGAATGGAAAGGTGGGCATGACTTTTGAGAGTTTCCAACTATAAGAGATGTCCTATCCATACTAAAATGTTATTGACCTGGTAGCAGGTTTTGTGGTGCAGTTTTTTGATGGCAGGTTTATTTATGTTACAATTGCAAAGCCTAGATCATCAAAAAGTTCAAAGAGGACAACGGCCTACAAATTTTAATCGTATGAGCAGTGGCCAATAGCATCTTTTTCTTTCCCCAAAAACAAAGGAAAAGTTGTTCTAGCAATTTTATATAACTTTGTCAGTGCCATGAAACTTTTCCACTGTCTTGTTGAATCTTGGCGTTTAAGGACTCTATGAATTCCTTGATATGGAGGGGCTAAACAATATTCTATCCTTGTGAGGTGTCTAAAGTTCAATGGTATGCATTGTATTCCTTAGCGTCAGAGTTGAGAGACCACTTGATTTGCAGAGTAATTAAACATTTTATCACAAAAAGCATCATTTATGTATGAGTTAATACATAGTGAAGTTTTTTTATAACTCAAACCACATTGCTTGGAAGCTAGTCATCAAGAACAAGCTGCTTTTATAGCTGTCGTGACCACACTCAAGGCTCTGGATATGGGACCTCAGTGATCGGCCAGTGGAATTGCAAGTAATGATTAGATCAATACTGTACTGAAGAAGATTCACACGTTGAAGGCCCGGTCTTCCAAAAGACTGAAATGTAAAAGCATATATAAGGCATATATGCCTGGAAGGAGTGGCAGTATTGGAGGGAGTTTGAAGAGCTTATTGTATTACCAAGAAGAAACATGCCACCCTTATATTTGGATTCATGACACAGGATGGCTAAGCAGCAGTATATTAGCCTCGAGGATTCTTCCGAGATCAAAATCTTCTGGGATCAACAGATATATATCGGTTAGTAAGAGCACGACGCCAGATTTCTGCTGAATTTAAAAGCTTATTTTTCAGGTTTGTTTGTCATGAATTAGAAATTGAAGTTCTATTTCTTGCTTTTTATTTAATTATGGCTTTCTTCCACCCCCTTTCCCATATTCATGTGTTGTGCTAACATAAGAATGAATTTCCTGATCATAATTGATATGGTTTTTGTCATGGTATAATTTTTATTTTAAACAAACTCAAGTATAATATCTTAAGTATTATTGATACCAATCTTCAATATAAATTGAAGTTTATTTTGGTAATTGTAGTTGATATCTAACGAAATCTTCAATAAGGGTAAAGGCAAGTCACACACTTTTGTTTGTTATAATTTAATTTAATAGATATTCCTTTGAATTCATGGTAGATTGGTTCAAAAATATTTATTCGTATTACTAATTATTGGCAGAGGTTCAAGAGTAAGTGAAAGCTGAGCTAAACTTAATTTAATCTTTTCACAATAAATGAAAATGAAATTGATGTCCAATTCATAAGACAGTTGAATTGCAATTAGTTTTGTTTTTCATTGGATTATTGTGCTTTTATTTGAAAATTGTATTATTTTTCATTGCACTGTCTTTATTATTACAATTACTGAATAAAAGATTTATTTTTTTCTTACACCATATGGTCACTCAGCAATTGATAATAAATATATTTTTTTCATTATATAATTCTAAATTATTGAAACTTTTAGATATGTTAAAACTATTCACAAAGGAAAAGTAATAAAAATTAGTAATAATATGAAGTTAAATTCATATTATTTTTTAAAAAAATTAAAATACAATTTTTTAAAAATCAATAAATAATATGAATTGAATTACACTTCTTCATTTTACAAAAAAAAAAGGATTAATTTTGGGAGGAAATTATTTCCCCAAGTTATACCAAAAAAAAAAATTGAATTACGCCGGGTTGACAAGTATATGTAGGATTAATGGATATAAATTTATAATCTATAACTATGTACCAAAAAAATATTCTCGATTTTAATTTCCACTCTTTGGAGGATTATACCCTTTATCAATTACAAGAAATTAGAATGTAATCACTCACAATTACAAAGAAGATATAACCACAAATTTATATTTTAGTAAAGACATGAAGTATTTCTTTCTTTACCAGTAATAAATAAT